GAGTTCAGCAAATTCTGGATGCCCAGCAGGTCTCTCTGCGGCAGACGACCAAAAATCCCAAACACGTTTAAGAACATTATTCTCATCCTGCTTTTAAAATAATTAGACTCAATTATACTGAGCAGGAGCTGGAAGTTGGTATAAATGGGGGGGTGGGGGGGGGTGTACCTCAGCTGTAGGGAACAGAGGAACAGCAAACTGCAGCAGACTCTGGATCTGGATCTGCATGGTGGTCAGGGACCTCTGGAAGATGGTCAGGGGCTGAAACACAAGAAACACAAGAACATGAAGATCACACGAATTGAGAGAAATGTGGAAGAGACTACACAGAACGGAGAGAAAGAAAAGACCAACAACAACCAAAACACAGTTTTGTCCAAATTCTGTTGTTGGACATTCCTGTGGCATAATATTATTTTTACTGTAAGACACGAAATCTGTTCTTTAGCTCAGTTTTGGTGAAATAGTCAACATTCTGTAGTTTGAGTCAGCCATTGCATTCTTGTAGGTTTACCTTCTCACCACCAGGGGGCAAAGTAAGCCTCCACATTCACCACAATTATAAAGCATCATCACATCACAACCTGAAAATCAGCACCTTCTGCCTTTTTTTAAATTAACATTCAAGCGGGACCTTAAAGGAATTAAGAGTCTTCGCGGTTGCACAACCTAACGAGGAGCAGGATCTCCTGTGGCACGGAGCTCAACTGAAACAGGATACGGTCAATTACCTCAACTATCCAGAAATGTAATTGGTTTCCTCTGATTTGAATTTTTTCCTCCAGATCTGGAAGACTGACCATCGTCAAACTGATGCACAATCTAATAGCCTGAGCAGATGTGAGCCAGATAAAATAAAAAGAGGATAGAGAAAGAGGCCGATGACGACAATAAGAGCAGGAAAAGAGCTGAAGCGGGAGTCATGTCTGGAGCAGTTTGGTATCACTTTGGCAGGTTTTGGCCGCAGAACGAAGAAACACAGGCGCAGAGGAAGAGAGGGAGAGTATTTTTAACTTCCACGAGGGTTTTTGAGGTGAGTTCAGGATATAAACAGACAGACCGCACTGACCAGAGAGTACGAGCTTGACAAAGATGAGACATGAGCAGCAGAGACATGAACTCACCCTCCAGCTCCGGTTCAGGGAATTACAGGTCAAAAGATGTCGAGATATTTAAGTTCAAGCGGCTTCAAAGTGAGCAACAAAAGATTAACTCAACCCTCAACTACCTCGATATAACTTTATAATAACACTTCGTTAGCAGCTGCTTTGAATTTGATTAGACTTTTAAACAAATAGCAGTAAATCACAATAATAAATGCTTGTAAAGTTTAACACTTGTCATTTCTCACCTGCTGGAAAGGGTTGGAGAGCGTCTGGTTGCAGTAAAGGTAGTAATGAACAATATCTGTGGAACAAACACAAGAACGAGGACGATGATTAAATACATTTTCAATCCCAATTTTATTTTTCAGTCACTGATGCACCTCATATTATTCACACTCACCAGCAGTGACGATGCTCTTTGTCTGGCTCATGACGTACCTGTCGGGGGACACGCAGAAATCACTCGTGCCCTGAAATAAAACAGGAGCCGTGTGAGAGCAGAGAACAGACAAAGACTCGGAGACATTAATTTTTCATTTACACCTCTGACGAAGCTGCGTAACAATGGTGACAATCAACTCCATCACTTTTTTTGACACAAAAAGGGAAGTAAAGAGGACAGGCTTTCTCTTTTAATCCGCACATGGAGACAGGAACCTGTTTCTGTTCTGTCCCTCACCACCACTTTTACTCCTGCGCTCAGCGCTAACAAGAAAGTGTGCAGCCTGAATGCTAAATGTCCCCTGGGCTCAGGACAAACACACTGCGTGTAGCTGAACCTTCTCTGGGGGGGTGACGCTAATGAGCCCCACACAGAGATGAGAAAAGAAAAAAAAACGCCAGCCCGAGTTTCTCAGCAGACGGAAGACAGTTTGTTAGAAACGAGGAAAACCAAGGAGCGTAAATAGAAGAGCAGGTTTGTTATTGAAGAGGAAACTGTGATTCTCAGAGAACGGAGAGTTCCCACTGTCGGTAATTTACGAGTTCTGTGAGGAGGGGCCTTCATCGTCAGTCACTGATGCACATATTTAACTGTAGCCGACATATGAGGATTCCTATCTAACAACAACATGAAATGGAATTTTTGTTCATGAGACAATTAACATCGGCAGAAATCTGCTCTTTATTATTATTGTTATTCTCCAGCCAGAAACGACTTGTAGAAAAAAATGGCCAGTGGACGTCAAACACGATGTGAGAGACAGGTTGAATTAAATGTCACGCTTGTATTTATTAAGTGAATGTGTTGCATGTGGAGCCTTCAGCCGAACAGTTCATGGTCGGTCACTTGCGGCGTTTGTTTTGGACGTTCATTCTGGATTTTGGTATCAACAACCGCAGACACTGGAGATTGTAAAGACGACACAGTAACAAGACGAGGACACTGACTAATGTGGAGCTGATCACGCCTCCTCCTGCTTTCGCCCCCAACGCTCATTATCCCCAACTTAAATTCACACGTGTTAACAATCCTCTGCAGCCCCGAGTCAAAACAACGACATCCTGAGAAAAATAGCACACACGCCTGAAGCGAGTGAGTCAAAACAACAGCGCTCATCCATCTCACATTTCTTCCTTGAAATGTTTCTGTTTTATTATTTCCCTCCAGGTCGTTTAAATGTTTAAGCTGCTTCTTGTTGTGGGACCACAACACTGAAATTATTCACCTCTTCAGTATGATAAGCTTTAAAAGCCTCTCGTCGTAATCCTTGACTTTGATTCAAGTTATTCAGGACTGTGTCACGATGCTGACGAGGAGCGTTGTTTGTTCCTTTGTCGGTTTATTTTCGGAGGTGTGCCGTTCGATGGCAGAGATCAGAGGAAGAGGTGAAGTGTGAAAGACAAACTGAGATGAGAAGAAGTCGAGGTTAGACAGTGAGCAGGTGTTTTTTAGATGAAGCCGCGAGAGGAAAGTGAAACTCCTCAAAGAAAGGAACTGACGGAACCAGGATTCGAACCAGGAACCGTCAAACCGCTGCACCAACGTCTCATGTCAATGTTTTCTCCTTTTTTTTTTAAAAGTTGCATTTGTTCCTGAGATAATACAGAGAAACCTACAACTAACGTCATGTTCAGACAGTTGCTGCTCGTGCACAAACATCCGGCAGATATTTTTTTAAGACAGTACATGCAGTGTATAATCATCACTTCTCACACAACCTCACACAGAGAAAGACATTTTTCAAGTGCAGTGTGCGTCGACTAAAAGCAATTTATCATCACTGTCAGGCGTGATAAGAATTGAGCGCCCGGCCGGTTTGTGCCGGTTTACATTCGGTCACACCGTCAGCCGGAGCCCTCGGAGGTGAAGCAGCTCACCACAGCAGCGGCCAGGTCAGCTCCCAGAGACGTCCAGCTCAGGACCAGCGACAGCACTCCGAACACCATCATCCTGCAGGGACGCAGAGAAACAACAACGTTTAGGATAATCACCACATCAACAGCCACCAGGACTCGCTGGTCACTCGCTCGTTTAATCTTCATCCAAACGAAGACAAGTTTTGATTTTCTCCAACTGAAACACAGCGATTAATCATTAACATCACTTTTCTCAAAGCACCGAGGTCCGTCCATTAGAAAGGAAGGTGCAGGTGTGAATGTGAGGCAAGGCGAGTTTAATGTAAAGCACATTTGAACAATGTGTAAATGGTTGTTTGTCTTTACACGCTGGCGAAATTTCCTGCAGGTGCTCTGCCTCTCGCCAAATGTCGGCTGGGATTCGCCCCAGCTCTCCCCGGAAAAGTTTATTCTTGATGTGCAAGACTTTTTTTTCTGCATCTTGACTTTATTGCCAACGTTTCCTCTTTATTCTTGAAAATGCAGAATCTTCTGTTGTCCCTTCTCATCTGTACTGGTGAAACTAAGAGTGACCCATCCCCCAACTTGTGGGCCGACAGGAAAACTGCAATTGAGTTAAAGCCAAGTAATATTGCATTGATGAAAACTCTACAACATATGAGTGCATAGACAAGCAGTTAATGTACTTCTCAGCCACCTACAGAGGGAACACAGTGACGCAAATGGAATTATTTTCATGATGCAGAAAGGAAACAGCCTGAGCCTCAAGGGGCAGGAGTGGTGATCTCACTGGCCTGTCATCAGCAGAGCGAGTCAGAGGTTATGTTTATTTCTGTGGGAGTCGATTCTGCAGCCTCAACATGCAGCAGCTGCAGCAGCGTCACGAGCCGAGGAACAAGCAGCGGAGCGTATCCTCTCCGCTGGCCTACATTGGATTACAGCCCCCTGGGCGGACGGCTGTTCCTGCCCCCATGAGGTTATGAAAATGTTTTATTTCCTGAAGATCTCATGGTGTCAGAAAGCGACGTCAGATACATGCGACTCCGAGAGGAGACAGACAATCACAACCCATTAAAAGATGAACCCTGGTTCTGTCATAGATCAACTCTCATCAGGTCGAATTTTCTCCAGAGAATCCAATAAGCTCCTGTTGATTTGACCAACACAGCACTCAAGTTCCCCCCTTACATCGTGCCACCAGTGTTTTAATGCAATTTGTGTTTGCACGTCCAGGTCTGGTCGCAGCCCGTTCGGCTTGAAAACGTCCTCCGGCTCTGCGGCTAATCCAATTCACGGCGTGCGGAGAAGATACAGCTCGAGCTCCAGACGCTTCTGTCCTTTATCTTTATTCCATTTTTCACTTTCTATATTCCCATTAAACCTCTCTCCCAAATATTTTCTCTGCCTCCCTTTTTTATCAGCATTCACTCTTGTAGCCTGTCTCCCTTCCTCTGAAACAAAGCCCTCACTGAGCCACTGAGCAGGGAGATATCTGCATAACGTTACAGGGTTATGTGGTTTTGGATCTTTCGTTATCTTTCTAAAGGGGACAACTCCTCTGGCCTGTGTGTGTGTGTTTGGAGGTTGTGTAATACTGGACTGGCTGAGCTTCTTTAAACAACTATGACACAACGTACCAGGGCAAACGAGGATGATGCCCTCTGATCGGCCCGTCGGTGCCGGCAGGTCACGTTCAAACCAAGCTGGACTTTACTCAGTTTTGCGCTCCGCTGAGCAAAAGAGGATTCACAGAGCTTCAGCAGCAAATCGAGTGTAAACCTGATGCAAAGCAGATATAAATATAGTGAAGGAGTCACAGAGGCCAATGAGCAGGGGAGCATGGCTTCACCGAGCTCAGGTCGGACTGAATCACATCAGTTGGATGTCGATTTTTAACTTAAAAAACCCCAACAAACTTTTATTCACATCTTCTCTACGTTCTAATTTTGGCTCCTGATCGTCAAACTTGGACTGAACCTCATTATATTTTGTGGATGTGTCTCCAACAGTTCATAAGAACTTTCTCACAGATGATGAATTTTATGTGAGTGAATTATCAAGACAGCACTTTAAAGATTTAATGAGTTTTCAGGTCCCAGGCTCGCCGCTCGTCTCTCAACATCTCAGTTATTGGTTTGTAAAGTGCCCATATATTTACTATACGTGTCCCAGATGTAACTGCATTAACACGACCTGTGATGATAAAAGTTTCTCATTTAGTTCGACATTTTGACTTTTTCGTCCTTATCTGAACTTAATTCTTATGATGCATAACGGAAAAAAATGAAATTCAACTTTTTATGTATAAGAATAAACGAAATGCTTCCTGGTTTCATGCTGCCAGTTGCTATTTTTTAACAAAGACCACAAAAAAGATAAACATAAAAAAGGTTAATCGTGTCAGAGGAAATTAAATTATTCGTCAGAGAACATTCGGCAGATGTTAATTAAAAGCGCTTCCTCGTTTCATTGATAAAAACAAACCTCAGGCTTCTCTGAACACATTCACTGCTGCATGTAAAGTTGCGCACAAGCGAAATTTCAAAGAGACATTGTCTCCTCTGTTGGATTCTGTCTAGACCAGCAGTCGTCTTGACTTTCATCTGAATCGCTGTATTCATCAGGTTTCAAGCTGAAGGAGCTTTCCCGCATGCACATCACATTTCTTTCATTTCGAGAGAGAGAAGATATTTGATGAGCGAGCTCAACTGCACGAGCGGTCGCTGAACTCAGCTCCGACTTAAAGAAACTCGGTTCAAGGTTACCTGAACATTTTCATTACTTTTTACACAAAGCTTCTCTTTCCACTTTCTTCCAGGCAGCAAACATTAATCTTCTCTTCTGTCCTTGTTGATGCAATAATCTGCTGTTATTGTAGTTAAACCAAATCTCCCAGAGGCTGTTGTCAGACACGAACTTCAGGAAATGTCCGGGACATTCAGACGAGGGGCGGAGCCTGGGTAGAGCAGCAGGAAGTGATGAATAATGTCTGCAGCAGAATTCTCATGTTTTTGTTTAAAGCATTGACAATGGCGCCGGTCTACATCGACGAAAACTGTGGAATATCGCTGTCTGTCCAATTTGGCGTCTTCGTCTGCATCTGCTCCTCTTTTTCATCCTGAGATATTTGTATTGTTCCGGTTTCCTGCTGTTTTTCTCACCCGGACTCACTCTGAACTGGGAGCTTGGAGGAAAACTGGTTTGCAACTGATTCTGACATTTGCGTTCTCACATACAGGCCCTTCGGATAATTTCAGGAGAATGTCTGGAGTTGCGTTTCACGTCTGGGAGCAGCGTGATTCGCCGTGCTCTTCTCGCTGTAGGTCAGAACAGCTCTAATGATTTGTCATCCGGGGAAATGATTTTCCACTCCACTTTACTTCCGTCGGCACCGCAGCCCTGCAGTCTGTAAAATGAAGCCCAGAGAGGTCTAAAATATGTCATGTTTGCATCTTGACATTTTACACTTCAGTTCACTCCATAGTTTATGTACTTTCAGAAGTTGTTTTCTGACATTCCTCCTTCTACTGCAAGAATGGAAATGTGTTCAAAGGATAAAAAAAATGCCACCAGAAAAAACTGAACGGCAACTTTTCCCTCTAGAAACAGGAAAGTAACCGCGGCTGACAGAAAGGTCGGTGGATTTCGGTCTCTCTCCCGCGTGGACGTACCTCGATGTCTGAGCTGTTACTGAGCGTGTCACGCTAACACCGGAGCCCGTCGGCTACAAGCACCAGAAAAAGAGCCAGTATCGGCCCCAAGAGTGTAATCTGCTCCCTCATGCCTCCAACCACCTCCACTCTACTGGAAGAGAGCATCTCTCGGGACGGCAGACACTCTTTGACACTGACTCATATCTTGTGTGTGCAGAAGGGGATGATGGGGGGGCTGGGTTTGTGGCTAGTAGGCCAAGTTCAGCACGGCTCACACCCTGAACTGACTGATTGAGAGAGACAGAGTGATGCTCGGCTGCATGAACGGAGGCCTGGGTGGATTTCATGCCCCATGGAACGTCCATTACAGCAGAAAGGAAAAAAAAAAAAATCACATTCCACCAGAGAGGCATGAACTACGGACAATCTAAAGAGATTAAATGAGAGCGGTGGTTGTGCATTTGAATATATATAGTACATCCAGTTGACTGCACATACATACAGTACACACCCTTTAGTCTGGTCACACTGTAAATGTTCTGTTTTAAACAGCATTTCTTTTCTTCTTATTTTTATTATCACTTTGCTGCTGTCACACAGAACATTTCTCAACTTTTCTTTTGTTTAATTTCTTTCCTCCTTTTAAAAAGTTAAAAAATCAACACATACTTGTTCTTGTGTCATGTTTTGGTTGTTTTAACGTTCGGTGCATCGGCTTTTATTTATGTGGTTATTTATAATTTATTCATCTTGTTTTCTTGGCACATATAAGAAGTAAAATCAATAAAATATGAATTTGAAGAAAAGGCCTAAAAATACAGAGCTGAATAATTAAACACTAGTCCACCATTAGTCCACCATACCTACCTGGGGCTGGGTTGTAAACTGGCAGGAACCTGTTCCGCGGATACAGTCTCGATATCGAATGTAATTCATGTCTGAAGCCACTTAAAGCAGGTCAGGTGTTACGCTGGAATAACGATTTTCAGGGAGTTATATAGATAACATCAAACGGCTCCGCTCCCATATCTCCTCAGCTCTGCCGTCCAATTTGTAGAGCAGAGCCACAGAGACGGTGACTCTGAGCGAACTCAGCCGACCACTGGCAACGCTCAGAGGCAAATGGTGAAATATGACAGGGCCAGTGGGGCAGAGTGATCCAGCACGACTGCTTTATTCACAGGCACTTTCCAATGGGAGGAGGAGGAACTCCTGCTTCATTTTGTTGGTGTAACATCTGGAGAAATATTGGAACTCTGATCACTAATGTATAAAAAAATACAAAATGCTATTTCCTGAATTTGTATTTTTGCAGCTGCAGCTTGTTTTCCAGGGATTTCTTGCATATTTGCAACGGGTCTTTGTCATAATCGATGAGATCAGTAACGCGGATGTGTCGCCCCAGCCCGAAATTTCTCTCTTTTATATTCATCCCAAAAATGTCTCACTGCACTTCCTTGGCTCCTGAATTCTGCAGAAGTTCACATGAGCGACTACAGAGAAAATCGAAGGTCAGATAAACAGAGATTTCTCAATTTTTTAAAAGAATGAGTGCTCCCAGTTTGCTCTGATTTACTAATCTGAATCCACCACATTTCTCCTTGGCTCTGGCTCCTCGCTTCAATCTTTCCTGTTGTGCAGGATGGTAGACCACATGAAGAAAACACTAAAATGGAACAGATTGCTTCCCGTCATTCCAAACAAAAAAAGCAGCTTGTGTCTTTGCAAATAGCTCAGTGTTACCGGGCACATTAGACTCACGTGGTGAGCAGCCAGCGAGACTGCTTGGCCAGGCCCAGACAGGCCAGCAGGCAGATGATCAGGTCCAGGATGAGGAGCAGCAGGTAGGTGAGCCATCTGCAGAGACACAGAACATTCAGACACTTCTGATCACTGTCTGTCCTGCAGCAGAGCCTGGGGAGTTTGGTTAAAGGGGAATTCTGGTTATGCAATCTGGAACAACATTAACTAAGGAATGTTAGAAACTGCACAAATCAGATTCACAGTGTCGCTGTGTCAGAACTGTGAAGCTCTCTGTCACTTTTAAAGAAAACAAGTGGGACTCAGAAACCAAAAGGCGAGTGTCCCACTCATTTTCACCTCAGGCTCACGGAATAGCTGTCATTCGAAGTGTGTGTGTGTGTGTGTGTGTGTGTGTGTGTGTGTGTGTCTCCTTCCTGGAAGCATCTGTTGTGTGAGCAGTCAGTTTGTGACATTATTAATGAATGATCTTAAATCCATACACCTGAATGTTTTATACCGTGAAGATTAAATCTAATTTTTTCCCTGAGCTAAAAATCTACAATAATATATCTTCTCTTTCTCTTTCCTCTCATCCAATGATCATCTATTCATTTCATTCTGTGTTCATCGTCCTCGGTTCTCCCGTCACTTTAAGCTCTTGTTATCGTTTTAATTATAATTTATACCTCCCATCAGTCTGTACCAATCACTCTCCAGAATCCATCTCCTCCATCTCTTATGCTCTCCTCCATCGCTCCCTTCTTCCTCCTCCTCATCCACTCTCTTTAATCTCGTCCCTCTCTCTCCCTTGCCACCACCTCCATGCCATTTCATCCTCATTTCATCTTCTCCCTTCCTGGCAGCAGGGTACAGTGCAACATGCACATGGAGGCTCCTGGGTGACACTGTCTCCGTGTTATCTTAATCTAATTAAAGTGAGTAGAGCAGAGAGAGGCACGGGGAATGGGCGGTTACATGAATGTATAATGGAAAAACACTTTTCTCACAGAAATCATGTCAGACAGCTGAGGGCCACTCTGCCAGCTGCGGTTGATAATGACAGCCTGAAAGTTTAAGCGAGCTCCCTAAATTTCAATGTGAAACCAAAACTCTGGATGTGATGGAATGGACGGTGCTCGCATCAATACTCTGCATTGTAGAGACTCTGTGAAGTAACACGACGATCACTGTGTACAAGCTTGAAAAGTAAACAAAGTGTTTCTGGATGAGAACCCCGAGACAGTCTGACAGCAGCAACACAACAACAACATTTAGTCGGTGATAAACTCAATCAAACACACACACACACACACACAGTCTGCCGGCATGAGGCAGTGATAATTACTCCATTAACAGTTTACGGTGTGTGGCTGTCTGCTCTCGCTCTGCCTGCCCTATTAGTGCAGCGCTATGTGGGGTCGTGAGATATCGGACCATCACGTTACAAATCAATACAAACACACCAGCCGGTCTGTTCCTGCAGATTCAACAGAAACAACCGCTGAGCCGAGGCCGGGACAAAAAAGAATAACGGTCGTCTGCCTGTTTCTGCTCTGAGATGAAGATTAACGATAATGTGACAAGGTCTTGGATGGACGACAACTGCACTTTATCAACAGGGTCTATGGAGGGTAAGTGTTTAGAGCATAGACGGTAAATAAAGATAGACGACATGACAGCACCTCAAAAGTGAAGCCAAAGCGTCTCGATCGCCTCCTGGTGGCTGGCTGGAGTATACGTCTTAAACCCAGCCTCCTCACTACTGTGCTCCATGAAGTAAGATGGCGGCGTTCATATCCGGCTTTAGGCTTCATTTTTGGATATTGGGAGGAAGTGAAGTGAACCTTGTTCTTAGATAACTCACATGGAACCACATTATTTATATATATTCAGGCCGTGATGTGCAGAGTGCAACAACCTACACATGAATTATCTATTCCAGCTTGTGTTCAGTTGACAAATTGCTCAGTAAATGCAGCTATAAAAAAAGACTTGACGTTATATGTTTAAATGTACCATTAAGAAGTACATAGAGTACATCTATATTTAGTAATCGTGTCTGTAATGTTCATTAATATGTGATGTTTCCTGTCCTGGCTAATCAAACGCCTGCTGCTTGGACGTCTTCCTTAAAATAAACAAGCCAAAGCCAAAAATGTAATTTACTTCCAGAATAAGAGTAGTTCTAAAAGTGGCTGCTCATTGTTATGCTCTATGGATAATTACGTACTGTATGAGGAAGCAACTTGTCCCCAGGATAGAAACAATTATGTTTTACAAATGCTTATGTTCATTTTTGCCTTGCATATTTTAAAATATTCATTCTCTCTTTCTTCTAAATGTAGAAACCAGAACATCTGAGGCATAACAGCATTGTGGGTACAAACACAGCCCGTGGCCGCCCTGTGCCGCGCCACCCAGTAACACGCACGTCTCCGTTCCTCACCTGTAGTACTCTACGTTTGCCGTTTGATCAGCGATGGATGCCAGGTCCACTTTAGCCTCCTCCCAGTCAGGCAGGCCCAGCAGCTGTTTGATCACATTGTCAGCCATCTGCTGCATGAACTGCAGGGTCTGCACAAAGTCACCGCGTGTGGCGAAGATCTCGTCCAGCCGGGCGAGGTGCTGGTGCAGGCCGCTCCTCATGCTGCCCATGGTGCCGGTAACCTGACCAGAGGAGAGGAGGGGTGAGATGAAAGATCCAACCGTGCTGCAGGTGGGAGAGGAAAACCAAGCTAGAAATATAAAAATACCTATATCTTAAAATAATACACAAGCTATTATGAACATCTCACTTAGTAGATGTTTGTGGTATCATCACAAACTTGCAATTACTTTTCTCAGTCTCTTAACTTTAATATTTTCATACCTGTGTACTTGTTATGATGCAGAAAATTCAGTGCTGTTTCCGAATTTTTGGACACGTTCACTTGTCGACTGAAGGTAAGGTTGTCAACGTGTTCTCATCATCATTGTGAGCATGTCAGCATTCTGCTCAGTAAAGTCTCACAGAGCTGTTAGCAGAAACAATCTTAGGCTACATTGGATGTGCTGTAAACAAAAACATGAGACATTTCCTGTTGTGGTGAACGCGTCTCACCGGGATGTGTGAAAGACAATCTCCAGAAAACTTTCCAGAGTTCGTGTCAGGAAAAAAGCTTTAAATTAAAAGTAAATGATTCATTCCATTCAGGCACACATTTTTGCTAAGCTGCTGTGTGTATTACCACTCTGGGAAGATGATAAATATTTATACACCCTCCTCCTTTCTACTAAAACTAATGATTTATTCCTCATGCTTTTCTTCGTGCTGAGCACAGAGCAGAATCCTTCCGGGGCCTTTGGTCAATTCAGCTCTTTCTCCAAAAAACAGTGACCAAAGGTGAGGATTAGCCTAAAAATGAGATTGGTCTGCTCCGAGTTACCGACGGCGTTGGCGAGCTGGACGAGTGAGCGTGGGCGTCGGTGAAGAGGTCCATTTAGAGAAAACCGCTCAGCTTGGAAAACAACCAAAACTAGAGAGGCCCGAGGTGAAGTTTTCTGGCTCACGGTGGAGTTCTGCATTCAACGGCTGCTCCTGTTATTTGTCAGACTGTTTTTCCTCGTTAATGAGGTAGATTGTTTGTCGACCTGTTTAAACCATGAAATCATATAGCTAATCAATTCCACAAGGGGTAATGTGAAACTCCGAGCACAAATAAACTCAGACGGACTGACTCGTTTATTTTGATGGATCAGAGTTTTACCTCATCGGCCAAACACTACACGAATACATTCTGCAATATACGTGGGGCGAACATCTCTCCTGTACAGGCACTAACCGTTTCCTTTGGTTTAATAACTTTGCTTGAAGGCCGAAAGTGTTTACAGGGACAGACATCCTGCTATTTGATAATTAAAAAGGGTAATAAATGCTCTCATTCAGCTCTGGGTACTTGGCATTCACCAGAGAGACAACTCATATTGTTGCCGTGTTTATCAGGGACGGGCTTTGCTGGGGCTAAGACGTGGAGCTGTTGTGTGGAAGTAATTAGTTGGGTTTGCATTCAAAGTGCAGCCCATAGCCTGTATGGAAAAACTGAGAAGAAAACAGCTTTAAATAAAAGAGGGCTGAGAAGAGGAAAGCCCTCCACGACTCACTGACATTTGTCCGCTACACCGAAAAAATGTTTTCTCAGATCATTCGGAGAAATTTTCTTTCAACAAGCAAAAGACATCAGACATTTTCATTCTCTTATTATTATGGGACAAGAAGTTCAACTCCCATGATCCCACGCTGCTTCACGACGTCATCAAACTAAGTGAGAGACCCCTAGTGGCCGTGGTTAAATAACAATACAAATATATTCTCTGTCTAATTAATTGTACTTTTTCTTATTTCATTACTTGAATCAAAAAAATGATTTAGTTTTATTTCTAAAAGCCAGTATGTGTAGAATTTGAATTTTTGTTGCTCTGGCTCCCCCTGTGGCTGCGTCACAAAATGCACCGGAACAATTGCAAATTAATCCAAAACTAATTTTTGGCTAATTTCTCCATCTGAATAACACAAAGCATCTTCTAATCAAATAAAAGCAGAACACATGATGGCTTTAATTCTTTAAATGGGAAATCAGAACCATGCTGAGTCAGCCACAGACAGACCTACATACACATCCCTGTAGTGCTCTGTGGTTTGTTATCTCGTCGCTCATCAACGCAGCGTCTTCCTCCTGAGACTGAGGAGATGAAATCGCAGATGAGAAATGAACCCACGTATCTGATCCTGGACTCCGGTGTGAGAATCTTATCTGAAACGCTCTGGGAGACAGCCGATCCAGATAATCTGTCTTCCCTCTCTATCTGATCCTCACCGTTTAAGCGATCCGCGCCGATAAAGACAATATAATTCCCAGTCCCGCTCGTCTCTGTCTTTATCTTTCCCTGATGTTTTGAGGACATTTGAGAAGCCTCACATCTTTTTATGAAGAAACAATGTGCGGAGCAGACTTTATTTGAATTTCTGCACAGTGGAGGGTAAAAAACAAACATAAAGAAGATACGTAAGAAACAATATGCCCTCAAATATCAAATCTAGGTTGTAACCTAAGTAAAAAAAAATAGATCAATGGGAATACGTAAAGGTTCTCGTTTAATATACTTACTATATAACAAATATTACTTAATCCTAATCCTTGTCAAACCATTTTTTCATCTAAGAGTCCGTATCTCAGGATCAAGACAGGAAACGTTGAAGACTTTGTTGAAGTGCCAACATGTGGGTCGTGTCCCCAACTCTACAATAAAGCCTCTCACACTCTATTCAATAAAAACGCCACTTCCTTCACCAGAAGTTGATCTCTATCTTTAAGCCTTGAGACGTGGCCTCAGAGGAAGCAAAGGGGGCATCAAACACAGAGCGGCTGTAAAAGGACATATCTAATTAAATCGCAGACACAAACCTCGCAGAAACTGTCAGGATCTTAATTGAACCGGTAAACGGCTTGTTTCCATCTTGTTTTGTTTTGAAAGTTGTGAATCACGCCCTACAGGCCAGCATCTGACGGACAGAGATTTCATTAATTTTTGCTTTGGCCAAGGAGGTTATGTTTTCGCTCCGGCCCGTTGACTTGTTTTCTTGTTTGTCAGCAAGACAGGGTGGATTTCCACCGCACTTGGTGGAAGGATGGGACAGAAACAAGGACAATTTTGGCGCTGATGCAGAAACAGTGGCAGGTCGAGGTATTTCTTATCATTTTCTTTAACATTGCAGGACCTGGGGGAGATTTTTTGGAACACAAATTTGAAATCTGTTTACTCCACGTTACTCTCACAACAAGGCTGCCATTGACTTCTCCTTCGTCAATGATCTGTTCTCACTTTAGCTGCTGTGCAAACGACCTCGAGTCACATCCACTATATTCTATACTTGACCCATTATCACTTCATAAAAGGGCCATTGAGCATATTTGTAGAAGTCAAACAAAGGTTGAGATCCTCTTTCCTGCTCCGACTCATTGTCTCTGCGTGAAAGTGGAGAGACTGCCTTCAATTAAAATTGAATGTGGGAGCTGGAGCGTGAAATGGAACATGGGTCTGAAGTGCCTCTGCAGCTCGGTCACCTCAAAGATCAGAACATCTTCAGTGCTGGGTAGAACATCGCTTTAATAATACATCCTTTCCTACGTACTTCTTTCCCTCTCAGAGATTTGATGGCCATGGCGCTTTAGGAGGTTCCCCTGCAGAAGGACTCACAAACATTCAGGGGTTAAGATGTTAAATCAAGGCTTTTGGAAAAGCGATGGCCCACACAATAAAAAGTGTTGATGAAGGAAGTGGGATTATATCTGGTTATTAGCTATGAATAAATGGTTTTGTTTTTCAGAGAGTAATAGTTCACGAGAGTGGGGGAATTTAAGCAGTTGCTGGTTTGGCTGCAGAGACGACCTTTGGCCCAGTGTCAGTACTTTCACTTCACCTAACTTTACATGGAAGCTCATCCAGCCTCTCAAGAATAAGGAAGTCAGCACATGTGTCCATTAGTCATGTCTCAACTGGAGCACACCCAGCAGCACATCTATTTCAAAGTACAATCTGGATGTCAAAGAGATTTTTACATTTGGACCCAGGGACTTTCCCACAAACATCTTTCTGAAGGTTCCTAAGTTCTTGTGTCTCCCAAAGGAGCTGCAGCCCATTTCAGCCTTTTGTATATGCAACCTCATTCTTTTGTTATCTACCCAAATAGCTCTGGAACTGGAACCTCAATCCACTGGAGTAAGAGAGATCGAGCTCCTCTTTTTAAAACACAATACTGACATCCGAAAACAGCATTAACTCAGTTTGTCATCATGAGCTCCTTATGTTTTTCGTTGAAACTAGTTGGAAAAGAGTCTTTTCATTTTCAGTAAAACACAATTAGCAAAGTGATTTCAACTACAAATCTGAGTCCTGCACCCAGACCATTCCACAATCGCTCTTATCACAAAGTAAATGAGTGAGTGTCATACTCTATTTTATACTCTTGTGAACAATACCACCACGCCCCAAAATACTTGAACTCCTCTGAGGAGTTCGGTTTCCCAGAAATATTATTTCTGGACCTAAAACAGGGTCAGACTGTGAAAGGGAACGTGGCACAGTCCTTCGAAATTTCAACTCTCGCCAAGGCCATCTGAATTCCCCCTCAGTCTGTGTGGAGTTTGAAAATTCTCTCTGTGTGATTCCCCTTCCCCCTCTTCATAAAGAAAGCTAATAACCGCTTATTATACTCTGTCATTGCAACAAGCTTATTATGAGAATGGTGTGGAAATATCCATGTCAGTAATTATGTAGATGGCCGACGTCCAAACCGTGTTTGAGCTCGGGCCAAAGACTCATTGACTGACCCAGACATCGACCCAGTGACTGTCGGCTGCCAAACCCTCTCACAACACTCATCCCCAAACAATAAAGATATTATTACTGTGGTTAAACATTTCAAATGTCTCATCAGTTCTATTGCAGCATAGACAAAGCATTCAGTCGGGCTGGCTGGCTTCCACATTTGACTGGTTAATGTTTACTTTGTGTTTCAATGTATGTCCATTTTTGCAAACCCGCCCCTGCAAAGCTCCACATCGGACCCGTTGCCTGCAATTATCTCCAAATCCGGACCTTCCCCAACTTCTTGCCATATTTCCCACGACCCAACACATCACCCATGAGGTAACACACGCTTGATAAATAGCTTGTGGCTATATAAAGCTAATACTTGTTGGCACAAGCAGCGAAGCCACAGAGAAGGTATTCAGCACATGATCCAGTTTGATGGACTCGCTAGTTTGATGTGGGCAGAAGTGAATAGGACTTTCACAACAAAACAAATCCTTGAGCCTGACTTCATATAATCATTTGGATGTTAGAGACAGCCGATCCAGATAATCTGTCTTCCCTCTCTATCTGATCCTCACCGTTTAAGCGATCCGCGCCGATAAAGACAATATAATTCACATCAATTCAATTTTTGATTTCTCCAGAAAACAAAAACAGACTTCAGTTCTTACTTTCTGTGTTTAAAGTCCTTCACTTAATTCAGATTGTCACAGAAGAACTGTGTTTCTGCGTGAGTGTCTACGATTGTTTGTGTTCGTAAACACATCATAAGCATTTATTCCAGACTGTAACCAATCGGGTCTCAACAGCAGCTGAGGAACAAAACTTCCTCTGATAATGAATCTAACTTCCGTCCTTTCCTCTCTCACACACACTCAGTCTTTAGAAGCGAACTCGTTTCTGAACTCTCTTGAAGCCCGGCTAAAAGGCATTTGTGTGGGCCAAAGGGCAGCGAAGCCGTCACTGTCAATGATTTCAATGCCAATTCTAATCCTGACTCTGCCAATCAGACGGGCGAGCATTGCTGCGTGTTCCTCCCCATCAAAGTGCTTTGTCTCCTGGGCTCATGGTTGATTAGGTGGGGGGAGACTGGGAACCGTGTGTGGCACACTGGGCTCTTTGTCCTACTCCAAGAACTCGACTCCTCAGCAGTCTATAGCTGCTTGCAATGAACTCACTCATGCACATACACACACAGAGGCGAGCGCTCACATGCATTAAGATGCTAAAATAAAGGCCACCATGTCCAATTATGTCCTTGTGTGAGTTCACACGTCCCAGAGGAACGCACCAACAAGCCTTCACATGAGATACATGCTAATGATTTCTCTCCGCTCTCTACTTTGACATTGGAGAATTAATGAGCTGTGCAAGATTAATAAGAGACGATCACTGAACATCAATTCAAACATTCTAGAAATGAGACATCGACTATAGCCTGCTGGATTAAGTGGGTACAAGTTTAACATGTGGTTGTATTGATGATATGGGGAACATGATAAAAGCTAACGTGTCCATGGTCCATGTTAATGCACATCACGTGAGAACTGATCCCAGCTGACGCTCGACTGATCTTGCAACATCAGTAGTCGTATGGTTCTTACATGTTTCCACTTTAAATCATTTACAAAGTGAAACATTCAAAGCTTCATAGATGATAACGCCTCTGATTTAAAAGCCAAGATCATTTTCCCACCATCATCACTTTAACGCAACCTAGAATACAACCTAGTAATGTTGCTGTAGTAAGTGTCTGTGGACATGTTTATCACGGAGGTCACACTGAGGGGCTCACATACCACTACATTAATGTGCATTAACACAGATGGAGACTTTAATCCCTGCTCTTTAACAGCGAGTCACCGAGGATCTGATGCCACTGCCGGTCTCGCACCACAGACACGACAACACACGGCTAATCTTTACCGACATTATATTCATCAACCATAAAGTGCATACTGTAATTTTCATAGTGTTGGTCATAAATAACAACTTTATTCATTCATGCAGCTTAAAGAAAGACCAGGTCTGAGGTATTTTCAAGTCTCCAGTCCTTCAATACAAGTTTCAAGTCAAGTCTCAGGACAATCTTGTCTCAAGTTACTACACAATCACACAGTCACCCAATTCTCAAGTCACACAAAACTCAAGACGCTCTTCAAAAGCCTCAGGTGAATCCATACAAGTCTTCATTCTACAAATCAATTCAAGGAAGTTTTTCAGACGCAATCTACAAGAGTCGACTAGAAAAAGAAAAACGCCTTGTGTTAGTGTGAAGTCTGCGACGGTGGTTTGAGTTTGGGCGTCTGTGTGAAGAGCGTCTCTAAGATGAGAAGTGAGGCCGATATATAAATAGAAAAGGAACCATGCACACCAACTGAGCTAAAGCGAGCAGCACAAGAAGAAAGACACAGGACGACTCTTTGTTTCTGCCAGGGCCAGGGTGGCTGAGGGAGATAGAGATAGAGATAGAGATAGAGATAGAGAGAGAGAGAGAGGGAGGGAGGGAGGGAGAGAGAGAGGGAGGGAGGGAGGGAGGGAGAGAGGGAGAGCTGTCTGTCTGTGACCAGAGAGTTTTTGTGTAGAGAGGCTGTCAATTTGTGTGTAGCGGTAAAAAGCTATAAAAAGACCATAAAACGTTTAAAGGCAAACTAAACTGTGTCCTCTGGCTTGTCTCCTTTTTTGTGTGTGAGCGTCTCTATGGGTGTGTACACAATATTTCTGAAGCCTTCACTTCACAGCAGTTTGTTTACAGCTGAATGGATCTGTCATCCGTAATCTCTGTGTTACGCACTGAACTGAATTGAACATCACTCACTTCATACAGGAGCGTGTGTGTAGGACGTATTCATCCTGCGACACTAACGTGGGGAGTGTGTGTTTTTGCTTACGAGGCTGTCCACGCCGCCCAGCGTGTGATTGGCGTTGTATAAGGAGTAGGTCAACTGGTACACCCCGTCGTTGGTCTCACTGTTGCCATAGAAACCCACACCCACTGCGACGCTGTGGAGAGAGAAAGAGGGGACAGGTGAGGCTTTGATCCCTCGCTTCAGTCCAAGTGAGGGATGGACCACCCAAAAACATATCGCCTCCTGTGTGCAAGCACAAACATGAATCAACATCCAAACTACTGATTTTCTGTCTGTCCCAAAAACTGCATCTACACAACATTTGGGCTTCATCATACAGGAAAATCACCAACTCAAAGACTGTGGGACGTTTTTACTTTCTCTCTAATGTGACAGAAGAAGTTCTTAAAGATAAGTGACTGTATTCCGTGTGCAGCAAACTCCCATTTGATGGACGTGTTTATGCAAACCTCAAAACAGAAGGGAAAACAAGCGCTGTATCTATGGAGCGCTGCAGCTGCTGGAAAATACTCTTTGAATTTCTGTGTTTGCTCATGTAAACAACACTCTTTGAAACAGAATTTTATACAATACAGGCTTTTTGGAATATGCATAATTTGGAATTGTTTTTATAGATTCAGTCATCCAAGGATTTGGTTTGTTCAGCACAAACAAAATAACCTCCAACACAAACACAAAATCTTAAGTAGTCTCTCTGAGCCCTGGGGTTTTCTCCCACGGTGCCGTCAGACTGTGCCACCATATGAACGGATTTGAAAGCATCTTTCTCTGATGTGGAGACATAATGTCTCACAGCCTCTGCGAACACGTGGCACATTAGCATGTGGAGCTGGTGTAAAGAGCTGAAGGTCACAGTTCACACTGGTAATCCAATGCTGTAAAATGCCAGGGTTTCCTACTGCATTTTATCATAGAAGCAGCCTGTCTCGCACAAGATAAAAACCATCTGCTAATTTCTGCAGGACAGTATTACCCTTTTATTAAATAAAACATTAATCTGCAGGGAAATTAATTACTAAATGACACAGCTTTTGTTCGCAAAAATCACATTGTAACTAAATGTATTATGAGATGAGACGCATTCTTTAATCGTCAGACTCAGGAGATGACAAAAGCATGAAACCTCCGCTGACGTCTCTGCTGGAGGAAACGCTTTAAACCCTGAATTACAACAACAGCCCTGCAGGAAATCCTGCTTTTATTGAGTGTTTGATGTTCGGAGGTGTTGATTCAGTGTTACGCAGGTGAGACATTTCACACAGCACCAGTGTAAAGTGTCGTGCCACCATGTCTCTGCTCTGCAGGACAGTCTCAGTGAAGTCTCTGAACTCTGTTGGAGGGTTGAACAGTCTTGCAAAAATATACACGTCGCTGTAAAATCCCAAATCACTGAACAAAATCATTCATGACATTTACATAGTCATCAAACCCTCTTCTTTTATTGCATCGTTTTCCCACTGATTTATTAAATACAAAGCTTTTCCCTGTAATATATCACCTATGGGGTTATGGGTATGAATTTATGCATAATTTTAAAAGGAGTTTCTAATATTTCTCTTTTCAATAAAACATGCAGCTGAACAGCATGAATCAATACATTGGACTCACAATGATTAAATACAAGCTTTATTATTGCAGAGCCGTTAGGATTATGTTGGGTGTAGCTACTGCATACATTAGCATCCCCAGTTTTACCTCAGTCTATTATCTGATAATCAATGTCGGGGTAATCAACTGAGCTTAACTGGGACACATTTCACACCCTAGTGTCGAGCAGACACGATATATGGCTACTTGGCTTTATTAGTTTTATTATGAGTCAATATTTTATGACCACATTAATTCTATAGGGTTTAATGACCACAGTTTCCTTCAGACCTCGAGTGACTTCTAACCACGATGGTAATTGTGTCGGGTGGGAAAAGGGAAAAGCCGCGTGACGGGTTGAAAGTTGGTGTGGATCTCAACCACATGATGGTTGTCGGGTAAAGTTGACTCAATATGTGATTTCTACTTTTTTAGCCATTCTATGATTTTAATGTTTCCCAAAAGTACCTCCTGGGGTAAGGAGGTCATCACTAAATGGGAATCACTGAATAAACCACGACCAAAATGTGCTCCAGATAAAGGCCAAGCAGGGGCAGGTCAGGCCAGTACCAAAGGGAAGGTAATCAGAAGTCAGCCTAATTGAGACAGTCTCTTTAACCTTGTGGCTCCCCTGAATCCTCCCTGATGCTCTGGATTAGCATTAAGCAGAAAATAGAGACTATAAAACCATGGTCAATGATGTTTCCTGTAGCGTTCGCCTGGAATCTGGCAGACCGAGCTGTGCAGCAGTGTGGCAAGTCGATGCTGCGTGCACTGGGGCAGAACAGCAGGAGTTATTCTCCTGATTAGTACCAAAAGGTTCGAGTCTCATTAACTGAAGCCCTGCAGGTAAACCTCCCACTCGGCGGGGCCACAACATTACCCGAGAAAAAAGAGGAGACACATGAAGGACGGAGAATGCATAAATAAAATCATCTGTCTGGAGAGAGAGGGGGAGTGACGGATATGGACAGAGCGAAAGAGACGGACTGACAGTGAAATAAGCAAAAGCAAGGTTTGTTGTATTTGGGCAGACAGCAAGACAAAGACAGTTTACAACAGATAATATGACACAAGCAGGACGACAGGAGGATCACAGCAAGACGGAAGAAAACAGAAAACAAATGTGAGGTTTGCTTTGCTTCATGTGGCCACATTTAACAATACTCCAGCGACGATGACGCACATGCTGCTACTCTTTACTTTCTCTGATAAAAAGAATCACCTACAAAAGTAAACATACCACAGGAGTTGCTCTTCTTTTATCTCTGAGCACACAATCCGTCACTGCCACAGAAGCAGAAAAATGCATTGTACAGAAAAAAGTTGCCCGGGAGAAACATTGCCTTCTTTGAACCTTGCAAATATTTTAAAAGTCGAATCTAATTAATGTGAGGAAGGAGAGAGGCACGAGCGAATCCCTCATTTTCAACCCCCGTCCTTCCTCCATCAGTCGTCCCAGTTAGCGCCGCTCTTTAAAATATCTCATTCAGAGAGGATGTCGTGGATTTCAGCAGCCATGCAGGGAGCAGAATTCCTAACTGTCATGTTGATAAATGACAAAGTGGATAAAAGACAGTGAAGGGATTTAAGAACGGGAGCCTTCAGCCTGCAGCAGAAAAAGGCCTTTGGCTACTTTAAATAGACTCAGACATGTTTGACGGTTTGAGATTTTGCCCCAAAATTGCAGCAAATACTCGGCCGACATGACAAACACTGGCAGACGAATTTATATTTTACCCTGCCCTCCTGAAGTTCCAGCAAGGGTCACCCCCAAAAAAACCTTTTAATATGCAGCGGGCCAGTAATATTAAACACAAACAGCTCAACTGAATCCTTCATGCATGAATCTCTGATTTCTGAGGGTGAAAAGTTTATCCAAAAATAACACTATCTGAAAATAATGCCAAGATGTCCTGGGTGTGAACGCTGCCATCTCGCGCCTGTAACGTCATTAAGTCATGATCATGGTGTGAGTCAGTCTCAGCATTTAACCCTGTTTTATAGCATCAAATAACCAATTCAAATCAAACTGAGTGGTAAACACACATCAACTATCTACAACGACAAACCATCTTGGTCCATGTCCCATCTGCTTACATGGGGGAGACAGGTTTTGGGATCCATACTGGGGGGTGGTCAAGATGCTTTGGCATCAGCTGTCACGTCGTCCATCTTTAAATATACTCTATGGTCCCAACTATGCAAACCCAGCCTCCTCCACGTTAACACATGGGACATGGACGAAATTAAAAAGGACGTTAAATAAATGTCCTCACATAAAATCATGTGAAACTGATCAGTACCATTCGGTCACAGTGATAAACTGTACAAACCAGTCAACTACCATAGATACCCTCTTGTAAACTAAGTAGCATCGTCACTGTGTCTTCCACACGAGGAGCCTGATCTGTAGTTGTAACAGTATAATTACACAGTGCTGCACCATGGGCAGGGCTGCGACCACAGCTGAGTGACATCTGCTCCGGCTTCACCAGCGTTAATTAGGATGGACGTAACGGCGTATCAGCTGCAGCCACTGTCACACATAATTACAGTGGAGAACGGCGGGAGTTTAAACAGAAACACAGGGACGAGGGGAAGATGGACACAGAACTGTGCTTCGAGTTAAAACGAGGGGGGGGACTGAGGGAACAGAAGTGAGGGGGTGAAGACGCAGTGACAGGAGGGGAAGAATCTGGACCGATGAGATTAAAATGAAGTCAGTTTTTCTCTTCAGTCAAAGGCCAAACGCAAAATCCACCAGGCAATCACATCCATCCTCTGGTGGATGCAGCAGATTGGCACAATCAAAGTTGGGAGTCAGACGAAGGAGAGTTGATTTCCCACAGGAAATCCTGTCTCATTCAAACCTTAAGTCTTGAAATGTATTGAGATGTGCAACTCTTTAAATCTGCTTCAGCACAAACCGAGTCACTTTACTGGGATTGATATTGAGACAAAAGTTCATATGACACATTTAAAAAAGTCCCGAAAGCACTTTAACATTATCTAACGTGACGTGACAGAGGTTTCCACTTAAAGCCTGAGCTGGACAGATCATATCTATCAGTCGGGGGAAGATCAGACAGATGGATATGATTTTCTTTGAAAAGCGTCTGGGCCTTAAACTCGTATCACTACATCTCCCACAGGCTGTGATTAAGACTTTATTCCCTTTGTTATGTGGACACAGTACTTACTTCTCTGTCATTTACCCACAGTTCTATTCTTTCTAATGTAAAATGCTACAAAAGGAAAATTGCACCTCCCAGGGCATCGGTGAGAAAAGAGCGTAACTTCATATATCTGCATCGGTACAATTTCAATTATTATGTTTAAAATATCAATATCTATATAAGTAAATAGGAAATGTGTGAGTGAATATGTTTCTAATAATTTGGCAAAAAGAAAATCCAAATAACTGGAAGCTCTTGTGCAAATAGGAATTATGTGTATTGGAATTAAAAGTTGGGGGCAACCAAAAACTCGTGAAAATGTTGAAAACACTGTAATTAACATTAGAGGAATGTGTGTGAGGGGATTATATGAGGGGCAAAGTAATCCATGTATTTGCAAAGGATTTTTAGTGTGAGACTGTGGTTTTTTAATGAATAATGATGTGGTTTAAATACAAACAAACCAAAAAACCACGAGACTGTGAGAAATTTTTCAAACAACTCTAACCCACACAATCATTTCATTAAAAGCCTCTTGCAGCCGCCAACAACTCGAGTGAGTCTGTCGTACGAAAACACAACCTGACCTCGTGAATACGCTGCACCACAGATCAGCCCTCACATTTCCCATGGTCCCTGACCTCCGTAGATTTTTTCTGTTCTAATTTTAATTCTGCAGCATAAATGTTTAATGTGAGGAGCGCTGCCACTGCACAGCTTAAGAAAACTGAACATAAATGATTTAATATGACGTAATGAAGACTGGCTGAGTTCTGTGGGAAACGATTTAAAGATATTTTGACACATTTTGTGAAAAGCATGTTTTCATTAAATTGAATTTTGTAGATAGATATATATTATTAGTGTAATTGTTCTTTCCACATTGTCTATACTGAAGATATTTGTGCCTCTGTCCAAACGACCTTCGTCTTTTTTTCCTGAGCGCTCTGTTTTATATGAACGCACAGATACACAGAAATGGCTTTTGAGTTGAGAATCACGTTTTTGACGAAACTTTAGAAGGTCTTTGTAGAAGTCCTGGTTTTAGAGACTTAAAATGCCGTTTGCAGCTCAAACGCACAAAGGGGAAACTTTGACAGCGTCTCTCAAGCCTGCAGCGCTGAGCATCGAGGAATCTGACACTACACCACAATGTAAAAATGCACAACAATGCTTGAAGCCTAATCCAATATCACTCACTGGTTGCTAAACATGACTGTCACATGGCTGAGAGACAAAACCGCTCCACCGGACCAAATTCAATTAGCTACTTTGTGAAGAGGGCTTATTTCTCTGACTGATTTAATGTCTGGTGATGTAAACGCTGACTGTGTTGTATCAGATGGGTTTTAGTAACTTCGTTAGACTGTGAATGAATCTTTAATGGAGTTACGTTTCTTCTTATTCAAGAGCATCATCTTTCAGAAAGATATGAAGGATAGCCCTGAATCTTCGCCCCGGCGGTGTGATGTTCGTAACGTTGCGGTTTGTCAGCAGCGTTGGCGGCTTTGACACAGCAGCGGAATATGAAGCAAATGAAAAGTTGGCTCTGTGTAAAAATAAACTAGAAGTGTATGATGTCTGTGTAGCAGCTTAAGGCTACAACACCGATATCATTCATCTTTATTGGAGCTAAACATAATGTCACTTCACATGAGGAAAGTTTTCAGTTCAGCGTAGACTTAATGAGATCCAGCAGCCTGCAGCCAAAATAAATCTCTGCGTAAAATCTGAGGGGAAACACTGGGTCGGACTTTTTATTTGTAAAGGAAACGTTTCCCTTCCTCTGAAATAGTCTCATTCTAATAATTTAAGTGATAAATTGGATTAATTAAACCTCTTTGTGCACAAGACATGGCAGTGAAGCTTGAAATTCATTTCAGATTTTGTTTTCGGTCGTTTAAGACAAGGCCTGTGCTAATGGGAGCAACACAGATTTTAATTTTACTCTCCATTAGTAACCTGTAACCTGTTTTCATTTATTACGATGAGTTGCATTATCCATCCAGAAATGTAAACAGGAGGTTATATCGACGCAGAAATAAATAGGCTACGCTTGATTAACTTTATATCCAAGGCTCAGATATTTTATTTACACACATGCAGAATCCCAGTATTATTTATGGGCTGCACTTAGCGTCAAGATGATTGTTAAAATCTTTAATATGATACCTCCAGTCTGTCTTTAGACTTTCTTCAAAAGTTGACTCTTGGACTCAAAGACGAACTGATTAGATTTTAGAGGTACACAGACTGAAGCTGAGAGGTCGACAGCGACAGATGCACCGATTGTATCAAGGTTTCTAAGAGAAGGAAGCCTCTCACACTGTGATGGTTTAGTGCTCGAGTTCTGTTGAGGTTACAAGTTCAAACCAGAGGTAACAGCCTCCTGGATTCACTTTTGAAAAATGTGCTCAAGGAGACGACGGTCTGAACAAAAACGTTCATTCTTTTATTCATGTTTCATCTGCTTTTAAAAGCACATATCAAACAGAAATGTGGAGGAGCAGAGGGTTATCACAAAGACTTTATCCACATCATCCTCTGCAGGGGGTAAATGCATAGACACATATCAATGATCCCATCGAAAAGGAAGGAAATGAAAAAATATATATTGGCTGAACTATTGTGAACCCACAACACAAGTAAATGCAGGATCTGGAAATAGAAGCTCGTGGTATTTCAAAAGAGAAGTGGACTGACAGGCGTGTCGACCAGAGAGAGTGACCCCAAACAGCTCGAGAATACAAATGGAAAAACAAAGACAGGCAGACGTACACTACGGAGAAGAGTCTGCACACTAAGTTATGGATTCATGTGGGAAATCTGACTGGGCAACATCTTGCAGCTCTAAGAATACAGAATGAAAAAGAAAACGCTTGACCATCTTTAGAGAGAGTGAGAGAGTGTGTGCTTGTACACTATAATCAACAGCTCGTCAGTGTCGCGATCGTCTTACCATGTGATGAGGCCGGCCGCCACAGCGGACCAGGTGACGCAGCAGGAGTTGGTCTTCTTGCTCTCCTCCTCCTCATCTTTGCGGCAGCAGCACAAACAGCTCAAGTAGATGGCGAGACAGAGGAGGTTGACGCCGAGCCCTGCGGCCACCACGCAGGCCAGAAATATGAGGGACTGGAAGGGGAGACATGAGACATGAGACAGCTGAGTCAGAAACAAAAAGGACGATCACGTCTCATGCCTTGTACCTCAATGAGTAACGCTTCATAGCGGTGAACAGCAACAGAAAACAGAATTTAAAAGTAGATCAATATAACTTTGGTGTTGTTTCACGCTCCTGTTGAGGCAAAGCAAATCAATTGATGTGCTTTCAAGGTGTCCTGCCGCATTACGAATACAAGTCCAGCATTCAAAAGTAACTTTAGACGTATTATTTCAACTACAGACATTAAACCTGCTGCTGTTGCTACGTCAATAGCGATCAAGTAAATTTAAGTAATTATCATGTGAATCCACAGTCAAACATTTGGAATCTAAAGAGCCAGTTATTTTTCTGAGGAGGTGGTGGCAACCAAAAATGGAGCTAAAAGGAGAGTGAACATTCACAAGGCCAGAGACACAAGTTAAAGCTGTTGGGTAATTGTTTGCTAACATTTTGTGTTGTAATGAATTAGTCATTTGACCATTTGATTAATTTCAAAAATGATTCCTTGCTTTTTCTTTCAGCTTCCAGTTCTCCAGAGTTAATCACAAAACAACGTACTTTCTTCTTATAGCATCATAATGTGAGGATGCTTTTCTGTGACAATAAAATAAAAACAAATTAATTTATCTACACCAGCCCCCAAGACGAAACCAGCTGCATTCTGGGAGCCTGTTAAGCTTCTGCCTCCAGCTGGAGAGCAGACACCTCCTCACACGTCCCTGTGCCTTCATCTCTCCCTCCCGTTCCTCCTTTAGCCCCCATCCCACCTTCTGCGAGAGATGGAGTGTGGCGACGAAAATAGCAACAAGAGTGTCCTAACAGCCTGAAATGAATTCTGCAGCCATCTGTGAGCAGATGGGTTTATTCAAGCTCGGTTCCTTTTTTCCTCCTACCCCCCCTCTTGCTCTTCCTTTTTAGTTTGTCTGAAATCTTTCTGGTGCTGAGCCATCTGTTCCCATGCTGTGATGTCATGTGTCCTGCAAGTCAAGCAGCGGGATTAAATACAAAAATGGAAGAATTTGCAGGATTATGACGACGAGCGCTCTAAAAGAGGCAGGTAAATGGCAAAATTGAAAAATCCTCGCGGAAGCCTGGGAACAGCTGTTGGAGACATCTGACACGGTCCTCATCCTGTCAACTCTGCTAATAAAAGATAAAAATTACAACTGCATGAAATGATAAAGCCGTGTTCACTCATTTCGCACCATGAATCTTCGTTTTTTTCATTTGCTCCCTTCCAGTTAAATCAATATTTCTCTCGCTCCCCTCCCTGTGACTCCATCTGTCGGGGTGCAGGGCCTCATATTGTCCCAATTCACAGCCACATGCCGCACATCTGCTAACGAAAGAAGAAAATGCAGAAGTACCAAGGATTTCCTATACACTCTTAAGGGTCCGATAAGAGTCAGTGTGGAAATTTGGCACTGCAGTTTATGAGACTGGACTGTAAATGTGGTAATGGGTGAGTTCGGACCAATGAAAGTCATCGTGCACCAGTGGTGAGATTAAAAGACAGAGACAGGATGAGAGAAGCCTGTCGAGTGGTGAGAGTTGTTACAAACTGGAGGTGAAGCCGGTAAATGACCCTGAGATGTGGGGTGCAGCTGGATCATGTGATCGTCGGGGGGTTGGGTGGGCTTCTGGGAGACGGCCTTAGATTGTCCGAAAGAAAAGAAAAAGGGACCCGTCGCCCAGCTGCTCCTATCGTCATGGTAACATGCAGGTTAGTATTGGGGCCATTGCGACAGGCGGAGAGGACGAGTGAAAGGGCGACTTATCACAGCCTATTTGAATTAAGCAGCATGTGACAGGCCTGCTTGAATTGCTGTGCCCGTGTCTTGTGATTCCTGTGAGGGAATGTGGCAGAAAGAGGAGAAACAGCGAGGAAATAATAAAACGTTTGAGGAACTCGGCTGGAGCTGCCCGAGGATGGTGTTTGTGACTCAAAGCAATTTATATTGCCTTCGCTCAGGAGGTTGTGTTTTTGTCTGCATGCGTTTGTTAGTTTGTCTGTTTTAAGGATTAAACACAAACTATTTGACCGATTATGTAACTTTGAGGAAAAGGTGGAGAATGAAAAGAAGAAGCCAAGGACCCATTTAATAATAGTGCAGATCTGGATCAGTGGCCAGATTTGTTCACGTTCTTTAACAGGGCAAGAGTTTTTATAACATTCTCGTTGATTCTTCAGAAAATGATTAATGGAGCTTGATGAAAAAAATCAGGCAAGTTTAAGGGACTGATATTTAAGAGTGTGTGCAATTTGGTGTAGAAGATCTTCCTGCATCTTCCGTACTTTCTTGACCCATGTCTTCCAAGTTTCAATAAATTTGGTTCTGTAGTTTTTGCATAATCCTGCAAACAAACAGCAACGAAAACAACCTCCTTGCCAGACATACGAACCCACGTAGTAGTAGTAGTAGGTAAGGAACAAAAAGTATTTTTACTCTGACTGTCTACTGTCCGTGCAGGTGCAAAAATAATGGCTTCTAAATTATGTAGCATCCATTCAGTGGAGGGACGCACACGCTGACAGTTCGCTCACAAAGGCACGTACCGCAACCCCGTCCTGGAACCATCACTTCCCCAAGTGCTCCAACCTTTCATTACGTCTAACAACACCATTTATCTTCGTGTGCACACATTCCCTCTTTGGTAAAAATCAAATTGTCGGCTCCGACCACTTAACTGCTGCCTAGATTAGGAGTGAACATATAGTTTCCAATAAAAGCAAACTGGATAAGTTAACACCCTGTGTGTTGAACTCAAGAGGCCAATTGCACTGTCCTCCTCGTTTTGTTTCCTCTCAATTGTCCCTGTAGACAGGGGATGGGGTGAGCACGGGGCTAGAGGCAATGACACAGGAAAGAAAGGATGGAGGATCTAGCTGAGCGGAAAGGCAATCCCCCCTGAGATGGAGAGAAAAGAAAAATACACAGAGACGGTGATGGAATGATGTTGTTGGAAAGAAAGAGTAAAGAAACAGGTAAACAGTTTAAGAAGAGCGGTGGTGGCGATGATGCCAAATGGCTGGAAGACAAAGCGAGTTTGCCCATGTCTTTGTCTGTAATTGGAAGACAAAGACAGAGCTTCCTCACACACGTGGCCGCCTCAGCTATTACTCAGTGCACGGCCCAGTTTCCCACTGTAGACGCCTTCGCCCTGAGGCTGCAACGTTGCATAATGTTACGCTTTTCCCAAAATAGCGAGCAAACCTAAGAATCTCAATCTTTAATGTAAAAACGAAGACAAGCGTATGACAAGACGAATCAGCCGTGAGCTCTGCCTCAAAGGACGACAAACGGATGAATTTAAATTTAAAGGATGACACACAAATGAATTCAGCAGTTAAATGGGGGAGGGGTTTCAAAGGAACTTTCACAGATAATATCATGAGGTGTATGAACTTAACTAAATGCAAAGCTGCCAGTTAAGGAAATACAATCAATCCTATTATGGCTGCAAGTTATGACTTTTATCACTATTTACTGGTTGATATATTTTCCTATTAACAAATGATTCATTTTGTCGGCGTAATTGAAAAAAAATGGCTCAAAAAGTCTCAAACGGTTCTATGAAAATATAATTTAGAGCTGAGCCACTGTGCTGAATCACACTGTGCCTCTGTGTGCCTGGTAACAATAATCTGGTAAATAACTGTAAGCTTTTAAAAGAAGAAAAAAAAAAATGCATTGGAAATACGCACTACACACAAAGACACACACACACAGGCAGACACCTATTAGACAAAGGGAGAAGCATAATGAGGCAGTAATAGCCTGGAGCAGAGATGACCCTGAGGGGACTGTGTTAGTCATTTACACCCCCCCAACCCCCCCAAGTCCCATCAGAGGTATGATGAAAGCCGATGGGATGACAGCACAGATGTGGACAGTCTGATAAATGGCCATTGAGGCTGTAATGGTCCATTACGAAGCCTCGTAGACAACATGACAAACACAGAAGCAGATTTCAGGATAAGATTTTAAATAACTGGCCACAGCAGAGCAGCTGCAACACTTCTTAATATTAGATGATATGAAAAATGCACCAGAAAATAAACCTCTGAATGCTCTCAGGACTACAAGGATGGGGAAAAAAAATCAATAAGTGAGAATCTGTGCAGCCCCAGAGCGACTTCGGTGCAGTGCAAGAGAAACTGTGGGAGGAACAGTTCAGGCAGAGGTTTTAATACCAGTCTGAACCTACGACAGGCAAAGTTAGTGGTTCATTTAATTTGGATGGTTATGTAGCCACTGTTTCTACGGCAGAAATTTTACATTTATAAGTAACTCAAACATTAGACTGACTTCATGAATGGTTTCATCATGTTGAGAATTTTGCAAACAAGCCTTTCAGCAGCATCAGAAATCACAATAACATCAGGTGAATAAATACATGCAATTTGTATGTTCAATGAATTTACTGCATTTGCTTGAGCCGATTAAATAAAGTTACTGAGGAGTGTCTGAGGAAAAAGCTGCAGCGCAGAGGCCAAGCACGTCTAACAGGAAATAGACTGTAAATAAAGATAGAGGAAGTATCTCTGCTTTCCTCCCAGAGTCAAAATAACCCTGATGCGGGTGCTACCACCAGTGCATCACTGTGTAAGATGGTAGCACCCCTAAAAGAGTGATGAATGAAATGACTTGTCTGGACTAGTTTACGTTAGCGAGGTAAAAGTTATTATGACAACTTTGACTATTGCATTTGTTTTTAATGTGTCTCTTACATGACGTACGCTTCAGTGATGATTGGATGTATATGACTGGAACTTCAAATATTCTACCCCCTCCCGTCGAGATATCAGCGGACTGTCCCTGCAGTGCACTCTGGCAGCACAGCATCTATGATGTAAAGGTCTGTATTTAAGGCTTCACAGTCCAGCAGCTTCAACTTCATTTTATCAGAAGGACTCCGAACAGTGATTTCCTGCAGAAATCCCCCCCCCCCCAGAAACTGTGACCTG